AATTAGATCGGTCCCACGCTATAGAGGAGGGAAATGCTACAAACTTCTGATCTAAGAAGAACAGAGGTGGCGGAATCGGATGAGGGAATAAGTTCGTAGAGTTTTTATGATTACTTTTGTTTAAAAACAATCATCATTAGTATCAATCTATAATATTAATCTGTTGTGTGGTTGTTCACGACCTTTTTCCACATATGAAACACTTTTCCGATGCCCGTTCTGAAATCAAAGACGTTGAACCAGTTTTCAAGGCTCTCTTCCTTGCCAAGTACAGCGCTACCATAGGGTTCGACATATAGCTGAAAAGGTCCGGAGTGCGCTGTGGATGCTCCAGGTCTTCAAACTCGAGCTCTTAAAGATCGGCTATGACGACTTGTGCCATATAGGACCTGGCGCTTTCGACAGATTGTTTAAGTTAGTTTGGCCGTGTCTATGAATTTTCTCAGTTGCATAGAAGCTTTCGGACAGAGTAGCTAGGCTATGTAGAGCTTTTTGGTTACCGTGACGTTCCTTTTGAGCGCGTCCCCGTATCATGCCTTTTGCGACTCCATTCAATGAATTCAGAATCCGTTCCGCTCTTCCGTTGAGAATTGAGTTGTTGATGTCCTTATTGACCTGTAGATCTTCTTCGTGTACGTTGCAAATATCCCGGGCTGCTTCAACAGTTTTTGGCTTAAGAGAAAAGTGAAGAGCGGGTGTCAGAACTGTTATTTTTTACCTCCCAAAAAATTCTTTGCTGAGACCTAAAAAATTCACGAAAATTTTGCTTGAGAAGTCGACGAAAACACTTTCGTAGAGCCCTAATAGTTTCATCGAATGAGAAAAAAATCATTCTTTCTCAAACAGTAAAAAAGCCTTGCAAAATGAGGAGAGTATAAAAACACAACGAACTCATTCCCCAGCTCAATAATGCTTCTCCACTTTACCAGTGGCAATTAGGCAGAAAAAAAAATTTAAAAAAAATTACACCTTAAAATCTTTAAAAAGTAAAGTAAAGAAATTGTTAGAGTGCCCCTACCTATCCAATCTTGAACCGTTTCTTTACAGATGTATTGCCAATGCCAGCTTTGAATTCCAAAAACCCACGAGGAAGTCTGCAGAATATCGAGGTATTACTCTTTCTTAATTTCGGTACGAAAATCGTCTACTAATTTCTATGTATAATATATATATATATATATATATATATATATATATATATATATA